CTGGAACTTGCAAGCATTCAGTAGATTTCAGAGTTCTAAAATAGTCACATCAGATTCTGCCAGTGCAATTGTTGCCTAGGTGGGCAGACAGATTCCTGGTGCTTCCTACTCTGCCATCTTCCCAGAATCCTCTATCCATTTTTAACACATGAGAAAACTAAGGTACAGAGAAGTGATTTTCTAAATCACACAGCTAAAAAGTGGTAGAAGTGAAATCTGGACTCATGGTACCTGGCTACTGTCGATATCACACTCTTAAGTCTATGTTCCACTTCTTGGGGGGAGGAAAATAAGGGAAATTGGTTTATAACATGAAACCTCAGTTCACGCAACTGAAAAGAATAAACAAGCAAATTAACAGGTATTTGCTTGGTTTGTAAAATGGACACAAGTTTTCGAAATTACAAGTTTACAAGTATTAATACTGTTATTGGGAGTGCAATTCTGGATGGGAAGGAGGTGAGCCTTCCTTTTGGGGTGTGGGATGAAGAGTCAAAGTCTTCATGGGGGCCCCAGGAGGTAAGCACATGTCCAAAGTGATGGCCTCTTTCTAATACTGGTGCCCTCAAGGGAACAATTAGGTGGAAAAGAGTGAGTGTCAAAGAGGGCTCTGTCTATGAGCCAGGTGTGCCTGTGGTATGCTCCCTGTGGGAAGGGTGGGTACCTTTTACTTGCACAGAAATAGAATTATAGGAACTCTTTGAACGTATTTTAAAATGTTTAAAAAACCCAAAAGGGACAGAGTTATTTGTGATGTATGATTTATAAATAATTCTAAGTTTACTCCTCCAGTGTTATATTTGTACGCCAAAAGTGTACACAAAAAGTGTACAAAATTGACTTTATTGTAAATTTTGCAAACATTTTAAAAGCCATTCTTGTTACTATTTGGATGGTAATTCTTTAGATATGCTCCATCTTGGGAACTAAAAACACTGCTAGTCAGAATTGTGCTCTATTAATTCTGTTTGATTAGATGTTCGGAGGACAGACAAGCTTTGAAATCAGATTAACTGTTTCAAACATACATGTTAAAAGATAATAAATAAGAGATTCCTTAAATCATTAAGATTTCTCATGGCTTTTCCCAATATTCTACAACCGATTAAACTCTATGTTAACTCATTGTAAAAAATAATTAAAATATGCATGCTTCCCCAATTTATTAATTGCTAACTAAAGAAAAAGAAGAAAAACAAAGACTTATATTTGAATTTTTTGTACACATAAAATACAGTTTTTGGAGGAAACATTGTTGAAGAATAACATCAGTAAATTTTAACTCCGTGACACAGTCTGCATATCTTTAGGTAGGTTTTAGGAATACACCTTGACAATGTATGACTATAGCACAAAGATAAAATTAACAAACCTTCTCCCTAGGGAAAGTCTCATAGTAGCAGCTTTCTGAGAAGATCTATCTGTAGCGCTAACCCCATTGCTCAAAACAAAGGCCTCATTTGCACAGAGGGACTGCTTTCCACTTTGCTAAATTCAAAGGCATTTGAGACTGACATCTACATTTTTTTCCCCCACTAAAATGCATTCTAGTTACTAAACTGATCAATTGTTCACTGCTTAACAGGTTTTAAAAGTAAAGATACTAATCAGTTTTGGGCTTTGTAATTACATGTGTTTCTTGGACTATTTAGAAACTGATTAGCTATGACCGAATTAATATTTCAGAGATTTGTAAGATATAAACCTAACAGTTTGGATTCTGGACCCGGTTATGAAAGAAACCTTTCAATGGGCTTCCTAATGATTGAATTATTCTTAATATATATCATTGGTCATGTAGTTGATCCAGTTTTTCATGTTCCCAAGTCTAAAAATCAGATTTATATTAACATTTTCAGTCTAAAATTCCTGGTTTTAGTTCTGTATGTGGACCTAAAAGCATGCTGTGCCTTAGACCTTGGGCTCAAATCATTTGTTGTTATTAAAGGAGTGGACAAAGCTAAAAGCCCACTTGCTACCCAAATGGAGAGCTTGTAAATGGAACAAATCCCTGATGTGCTCTTTGAGCTATCTGTGCTCTACCTTGGATTTTGAAACAGTAACCTTAATATTAGCAATATATTGCAGAGACACAATTTGTATGGAAACAAATTAGGATAGATTTGTTCCAGACTCAAACATAATTTCTCCCTGATACTTGACTGAAAGACTTGATGATGTCTTGGCAACCTCAAGTACAAACTAGCCACCTGAAAGCAAAAGTAGGAAAAGCATCTGCCCTCCTCTCTGGTTCTATGAGTTGAAATCTTTCAGTTTCCACCTTTATGGTAATGACAATTTTTTCATATTCAGTGCTTACTGCTGCGACATAACCAATCTCTGCTTATTACGGCACATAAACAATCTGACTCCATTTCTGCCTCCCCATCCCAGCCTGGTTCCTCTGTATTCCACTAGGCTTTACGGAAAAAAATGAGTTGTTCCAGTTTATACTTCATCGAGACAGTTCTGAGACTGTCAAATCTGATAATTTTGGACTAAGTGAGTGGGTCAAAATGGTTGTAAATGAACCAAACTTTCAATCAGATGTGATTTGAGTATATAGAGCTATAGGTTAGTTGTAATAGAAAGTATAGGAGCTTAAAAAGCCTAGAATAATTCAGACCAAAATATCTTGGGGTCTTTTTCCATTTTAAAGTGAATTGAGCAATTCTCTGTGGTTAAGGATTGACAGCATAATGGAAACAGAGCAAACTGCAGAATTGCTCACCAGGTAACCACATTAGCAGAAAAACTCATAATGTAGTCTGTTGGTTAAAAAGAGCATGAAGGAGACTTCTATTTTCTTATGAGGTGCCATATGCTCATAGTTCTTGGCCAATTATACCTAGCTACTGCCAAATTTCAGTTATTGGAAAATCCTCTCTACCCTATAGCCTTTAGCAATATAATGAGAGCTCTCATGGATATTGATTCTTCTTATAATTTTTTTGTTAACATAGGTAAACATACTTATGACTGCTTCCAAATATTGCCTTCTATTTATGATGTACAAGTATGTATAACACAAGATATTGCTATGTTGTAGCAACCCTGAATATTTCTATATATTCATGAGGATTGACTAAAGGTTAAATTGGTGGGCAAATGTTGCAGTGATCTTTGAAACTTTTATATTTCACAGTCATTCTATTTTTTTTTAGACAGAACTTTTTGTGGGATAAGATGCATAGCATAAGTGTAGACAGTTCTTATATAAATTTTACGTACATTCTTGTTCATAGTTTTCACTTACCAGAATCAAGAGGCAACTTGAGGCCAGTTTTGTGTGCTCAGGGATAGTAGAAAACACTGACAAAATCAAGCAACCAAAGACAAGGAGAAAACTGTAAAACAACAACAAAAAAGAGAAATCTGATAAGAACTTTGCCTTATCATTAACAGACTTAACTTCTTGTTTCTAATTAATAAAGCAGGAGACCCCATTAGAATTGGGATAGATTAAATCATAAAGACCCTGGAAGGTACTAGCCATTTTGGATATCAAAATGCAATATGATATACAGTGCAAACGGGGGGCCTTTGCAACTGTATGGATGAAGAGAAGGTTGCATTTGTGGGCTCCTATGTGTGGCATGCTGCATTTAAATGTTCACATCTAAGGATCTGTGAATTTCCCATACAACTCCTTTTCCAAGTAGAGATCCTGAGAAAGGCCCAGAAAGTGTGTTCTTGCTCTCCTATGCTGGAAGCACGTGTTGTAGCCACTCTTCTTTCAAAGAAGCAGAATCTGCCCCATGTTTGGCAGCTTTGGTAAAACCATCAGGTGTTCTAAGTGGTCGTTACAAGCCACTGGCTCATTTTCAGAGTCTGATATTGCTCATGGATTCTCATTTGTCATTTCTTTATATTAATAGCAAGAATAGAAAAGGAAGTGGATGATTTCCTCTGCTATCCATGCACTTTTCATTTCTTTCCAATCAAACTGCTAGAGAAATGACCCTTCA